CCATGACCTTGTGAAAGTGGAGAGACAGCAAAAAACGTAACCTGGAGTGGTTTTCATGGAAGTGGCATCACATCAGGAGGCACCGGCACCGCTGTTCGTGCAGCTCCTGCTGGGAGAGGCCAGGCCAGGCCCGGTGCCTCCTCCAGTGATTTGTGTTCACTTTAATAATGCAGAAGTGTTTTTCATTGTGACTTGGAGTGGGCTTTCAAAATTATTTTYCATTGAAAAAGTAAATGAATAATTAAAGCACTTTCTCTGTAGAGGAACATCAGCCACTCTCAAGTGCTCCTTGAAGATTTTTTTTTAGATTTTTTCCAGTACAGTGATGTCTGCACTGCAAACTTCTCTTGGTGCTTCTGCAGAGTGTGTCAGGCACCGGTGTGGGTTTTAGCCAGGGGTCTGTGGGTGCTCTAATTCCTGTCCCTTTCTTTCTTCCCTGCAGGCTTTAACTCCGTGGTGCTGTTGAAGAACCCTCCTCCGCCTCCGGGCCTGTCGGTGCCTGTCAGCAAACCCCCCCCGGGCTTTGGTGTCATCCCATCCTCCACCATCTCTGACCCTGTCACTACAGCTCTGAAAGAGTGAGTCAGGGGCCTGCCAGGGGGGTTGGGCACATCACACCCCACTTGTGTCACCGGGGCTGCCAACAGCACACTCAGGGTTACTCCAAGCAGGGTGGAGATTCCCGTYGGGAAGTCCCAGGGTGCTGTGGGTTGGATTCAGAATTACATAAAAAAAGCCCTGTGGAGGTACAAGTTTGAGGAACTAAAAGCCTGTGCGATGGTTTGGCTGCTCAGACCTTGTTCTTTCTAGATTTATTTGGAAATCTGCAGTTCCAACATATTTCTGCACATTCCCATCGATTCTGTGGGAGTTCCAGGAGCAAGTGCTGATGCATGTCCTCCTTGGTGACCTTCACTGCTCTCATCTTTCCAGTAGCTCCTCTCTGGCCCTTCTGGGATTGAAAGGGSAGTTTGTGGGAAAAGGGGAAGGAGAACTTTGTGTCAAATGCAGAACCTGCATTAACTGTGGGTTTATTCATAGTGAGGTCTTTGCTCACATYTTTTGAGTGGACCCAGCTCACAAAGCAGCACATCAGGGCCATGTTAAACTTGAATTTTAAACATTCTGTTTGTKTAAAGCTGGAATCTGACACAGAAATCCCATATTTTATTCTGACAAGACAGCTGCTTACAGCAATGCACATGCATATGGGTGGAGGAAGGACATGCAGCTGCAAATCAGAACAGCCTTGTGATTTATGTCCCAGGGCATGGGTGACACAAACCAATGTCAGGGTCACTTCTGCTCTTTCCTACTGCAGGCCAAAATCCTGTCATGGATCATACTTGATACCTGAGAACTTCCAGCAGAGGAACATCCARCTCATACAATCCATTAAAGAATTCCTTCAGAGTGATGAGTCCAAGTTCAATAAATTTAAAACTCATTCTGGGCAGTTCAGGCAGGTGAGTGGGTTCACAAAGCCTCCCTTGCTGGGAGAATTGAATCCCAGTGGGATTTTTAATTGATAAATATATTTTCCCCTCTAATTTTTGCCCTTCCCTGTCCCCCGCAGGGGCTGATCTCTGCAGCTCAGTATTACAAAAGCTGCCGGGAACTGCTGGGAGAGAACTTCAAGAAGATTTTTAAGGARTTGTTGGTGTTGCTGCCAGACACGGCCAAGCAGCAGGAACTGCTCTCTGCTCACAACGACTTCCGGATCAAGGAGAAGCAAAGCTCCAACAAATCCAAAAAGAACAAAAAAAACGTTTGGCAGACAGACTCCCCCACCGACCTCGACTGCTCCATCTGCCCCACGTGCAGGCAGGTGTTGACCCAGCAGGACCTGGTCACCCACAAAGCTTTGCATATCGAGGATGAGGAGTTCCCCTCGCTCCAGGCAATCAGCAGGATCATCAGTTAGCTCTCCCGAGGGCCACACCCCGGGCTCTGGCTGGGGATGTGCATTTCTGGARTGAGGTTTGGCGGCGTGGCGTGGCTGGGGCCGGTGCCGGTTGAGGCAGTGAGAAGCAGGTGACTTGGGAAGCCCTCCTGGGCAAAGGGATCACGGGAATGTGCCAGAGCTCATCCCCACCCGCTGGCTGAGCTCCAAAATCCAGGCTGGGGTTAGGCTGAGCTTCAGGGTGGGCAGGCAGGGCTCCTTCCTCCTGGAACATGCAATAGCTGGGAATCCTTTCTGATCTGCAGAATGACAGGGGACACAATAGGGAAATAAGCTTCTGGTTTGGGGGTCTTTCTGGTTTTGGGGTGGGGGAAGTTTATGGATCACTGAAATGAACAGAAGTGGCTTCCCTTGTAACATTCTGATTTTTTTTTGTGCTATTTCAGTGAAGATCACGCTAGTCAGGGGTAAAAGGTGCAGGAAAGTGCTGCTCACTGGGGCGTGTGTCCAGGAGAGCTGCAAACACTGGGCTGTAGAGTTTTCCTTTCTGCAAACAGTCAGTTCTGCTGCTTGAAGAATTGGGCTGATCTGTGCAAGATTTGGAGTTGCCTCTGACRTTTTCTGTAAAGTTCTTTCAAGAAACTGATTTTGTAGCCCTGCATGTACAGTAACAGCATTAAGGCTTTACTCTCYGTAAAGCACACGGGAACTTTATTTAATGACTGCCATGTTTCTAATTTCTTGGATGTATTACTGGTGGGAGCTCCCAACAGCATCCTGGGACATTAAATGCTGCTGATCACTGACCATGTTTTCTGCAGTGCCTTTAAGTGCATTTATCTGTTTACAGTGGTCTGACACCTGCACCCCCCTCGGTGACACCGGGCTGATGTAGCTTTGCTCGTGTCCCTTGGCATCCCCAAATTYCACCTCAGAGCAAGAGGGGGATCTCTTCTCCTTTGAAGGGGCTCCTCCAGCAGCAGCTCTGAGGTGATGGGAGTGCCAGGAGTCCCCCGTGGCTGTAGTACAGTGTCTCATTCTCTCCCAGCTCCAGGTTTAGTTATTTCTAATGTGTAGGAATAAAGCTGAAATTAATTTATGTAATTTTTAGTGAYGAAACACAGCTTTTCTAGCAGCATCATTTCTATGAAATCGAGCTCAGAATATTACCCAAGAGCTACTCCTGCCTACAGCCACTCTTCCTTGCCTTACACGTGTTATTTTTGCTTGCTCTCAGGCTGCAAAGTGCTTTGGGTTTCTTTTCTTGACTATTTAAGACTGTTCTGACTACCTGCCCRTGTTGGATTTGGCCCAGAAGGGGGTTGGGGAGGGGGATTTGGCTGCATGGTTGTTCATACACTGCATGAGTCTGTTCCAGTCCCTGTTCCTGCCTTGCTCAGGCTCCTGGAGCTGATCCTGGCCCCAGGCAGGGACACCTGAGGGGGCTGGGTGCTGCCAGCTGCCCCTACTACTTCCAGTCAGCAACTCTCCCCATCCCTTTGGTGTGGAAAGTTCAGGGAATGAAATGTCTTCCCTGCAGGAGCATCTTCTGTCTTCCCTTGGGTTTCAGTTATTTCTCCAGCAGCAGCTCTGAGTTCCCTGGGAGGTGCTGCTGGGAGTTCCCTGGAGGTGCTGCAGCTCTGGGGCCTGATGTTGCAGTTTCCTTGTTCCTTGTGCTCACCTGATCAAATAAAGTTATTACCAAAATTTTTCTGTTCATTTTTAGCTCTTTATTGAAAATAAGTTGCAGTTGGTTACACAGACAYCGAAAATACAGAATCACAGATTGTTCTCTCAAAAGATAATTTTATATATATAATATATACAAAATTGTAAACATTTTAAACTTATTTCCATACACAGTCCACTTTATACTACACTGCACAGAGGTTAGTGACAACTGCAACTCCTGGAAGCGTCTGCTCGGACAGAGGTATCTGCAAAGAAACTGAACTTCCCAGCCCCCTGGTGGGAGCTGTTGGAGATTAAAACTCTTAAAGGAGCTGAGGTTTTAATGTGTATTGCAACAAAATCCAGGCAGCTGAACGGGGGTTTCAAGTTGAGACAGTGAGGGTTAGGTCTGAGCCTCACTGGGAGGGAAGAAGGGYTTGTGACACACAGAGGGTGAAAATGTAACTGAGAACGGGACCAGGGGGAACCAGAGTCACCTGCTTGGGGCCAGCACGGGCTGAGAGGAGTCTGTAAAATAGACAGCAGCTTCTACTGAGAAAAATGTCCATTCCATGGAGTAATGATGGGATTTCCTAMGGAACAGACCCTGGTTAGAGGGCAGCAGGGGAGCCAGGAGCCAGCCCGGTGTCTCTGGGGGCTGGCACTGGGAGGGACAGTACAAACACCCCTGTAAGAGACTGCTGGACAGGAGAAAAGAAATGCTCTGGGTGTCATTTGTTGTGGCATGAGCTGATGGGACCCTCATCCCAGTGTCAGGAACAACAGGCAGTGAGGTCCCAAGTGCCTGATGTCCTGTAAAGGGAGGTTTGCTCTCAGGGTCTGTTCCAGTCCCCCCTGACACAGCAGGTAAGGGAGAGTGGGTTATTTTTTACTAAATATCACTAAAGCAAAGCTTCCACCTTGCTAGGAACAGCTTGAAACGCTGGCCAAAATTCCAGATCTTTTAATATACTTAAATTGCACAACGCGTGATGTGGTTAGCTCAGTGCTGAGAAACACCTGTGATGTTACARAGCCTCCTGGAGCGAGAGGATGGGGCAGAATGCAGCTCCAGGAAGGGCTTGGGATTGCTGGAATTCTACTCTTTACACCCAAATTTAGTGCTGACACTATGCAGAAGCTTTTAGGCTGGGCTGAGCGCGGCGTGGTCCTGCCCTCTGCGAGCTCCAGGTGCTGCTGACCTCTGGGCAGAACAGAGGGTATACACAGCTTGTGAGGATGGCACAGCCCTGGGTGCTCAGGACGATCCTGGCATGGTTTTGGGACAACTTTCAGACAGCCCTGGCATCCTCTTAGGACGCGGCCTGGGTGGTTACAAGGGGGTGAGTGCTGCTGTACCACAGCTGGGAGAAAAAGAGGARAAAGGAGAGTTGATGTTACAAATGCATGAACCTCCACCCCGGCACAGGGAGTGCACCCATGGCTCTGGATCTCCACCACAGCCCCCTTGGGGTGTGTTTGGTGCCAGCCCCACCTGCACACCCTGCTCRGCCTGATGCCCACACCGAGGTGCTGCCAGAGCCAGCGCAGGGCACCGGTGACACCCAGCAGCTGTGGGGACACTGCGGGGGCTCAGGGACGGTTCTGGGCAGGATTCCAGGGATGGGTGTYCCCCTCCCTCTGAGCAGGGTTAAACTCAGCAGGGCCAGGGCTCTGTGGGGCTGGGGAGCTGCACCAACAAACCCAAAACTGGGGCTGTTTGAGCCAGGTGAGGTGGGCAAATGCTCTCGCCAAGGCTCGCGAGTTTGGGGTTGTCCCATCCTGGCTGACACGGCCTCAGCACGGCCACATCTGACACAGACCCAGTGCTATTCCCTGGAAAAGTGCACCAGCTGTGGGATTGCTGCCTGCCCGAGCTGCCTGCCCCAGTGCCACCCAGTCGGGTGCCACCCCTCGCTGCCTGGCACCGRCACTTTGGGTGCAGAGGATCAGGGCTCTCCTCCCTCGAGGCGCCTGTTGAGGGATGAGGCTGGATGTGATTCCCAGCTCCAGCTAAATCGAGCATCTCTCCTGCCTTCCCACTGCTGGAAAGCCCCTCGGGCACCCAACCCTTCCTCTCCTCCTCCTGCACAGCAGAGCAGCCGGGTGTTTCCACAAGGAAAAGGAAACACAGGATTTTGGGAAGCTGACCCAGCCGCCAGCCTCAGGAAGCACCAGGAGCTGTGCCGGCGTCGTGCCCGTGTCCCTGCTGCCGCTGCAGAGCTCAGTGGTGGCACGGAGCGCGGTGGGATGTGCGTGTGGGGGCAAAGAAAGGCAATGCAGGCCTTGGGGGGACATTCAGAGCGTGTAATATTCAGCACGGGGGGCACACGGGGCAGGACACGTCCCGCAGGCAGACACAGCTTTAGCTCTTTACGGTTACACGGAAACTCTGGAACAGTTATATCATAGTTAGAAAAAATACACTGTACCCAACGAACATTATCTCACGTACAATCAATTTAAACATTTAAATTGATTATAATTTTGCTAAAATATTAACACAAGTACTGTTTGTGCTGCTAAAGTTTCAGTGTTCCCTCTAAGGAAWATATTGCTACAGTTCTATCGTACCCTGTATTAAAATCCTCGGGGTTTTTCCTTTCCCARCAAGACTGACTCCACAAAACCACAAAGATCCTGGAATTCACTGGGGCTGACACTGCACCGGGTTGGGCTGTCCGTGGTCAGGCACCTGCGAGGAGCTGGGCACAGCCAGGACCTGGCGCCAAGGCAAGGAATGCACTTCACCACTGGCAGTGACCTCTTSGGATGATTGGCTGCTTAATTAGTGCATTGATCTGCTGCTCGTTAATGAGCGCATCGATCTGCGACTCAGCAGCAGGAATGAGCTGTGGCCACGGCGCCCAGGAGCTGTGACAGGGAGGGGACAGGGGGTGGCTATTGCTCCTCACGAGGTCGGAAGGCAGCGGAGGCAAGGCAGGACCCCGGATGGCCGGGAGGAGTCTCCAGGGATGGAGCTGCCACCAGCAGGGCTGGGAATTGGAGCTCCAGCTCCTCTGCTCAGCCCGTGGTGACACAGCCTGGACCAGCCACCACCCGGGCAGGTGGCTGACAAAGACCTGCTGGATTTTACACATTCTGTTCTTTCACAAGGCAGGAATTTTGCWGCTGAACCCCCAAAGCTGAGCCTCTTTCTTGGATCCTTTCCACTGATTCTCTTCCCACACCATTTCCAAACAGGGGGCCGTGAGCCCACACGGGATGGACTTTATTGGCTTGTGAAGCCTCTCCAGCTCCCTGCCTGAATCCCTCATTTCTGAGGACTGCAGGGTGACACAYGTGTCCCCACCTGGGGCTCTGCTGCAGCTGACAGAGAGTGGCTGCTCCCAGAATAAAAACAAAAGTCCAGTATTGCTCCTGATGGCCCTGGACATYGAGTCTGAGCCCCTCACCTTGATCCTCAGCTCTCCACACTGAGGACATGTCAGTGCTGCCAAGCAGAAATTCCTGATGAATTGACAAACTTCCCAATCCCCCGTGAAGGAACGGAACCACAAAGCACCACATTCCCACAGGCCATTCCCAATTAGCCACCAGCTCCTGCTGAACTGGCTGCCACTTCCAAACAGTAATTTTTACATCCTCAACCAGAACCCATTGAAGTGTAGAAGCAATCTGGACACTGATCCCAACCCCGTCCTGCTGTGCCTGCACTGTGCCTCTAAACCAAGCTGTGAAACACCTGTTTGGATATTTGTTTTGTACAGTGAATATATACAAAGAAAAGTAACACAGAYACCGCTGATTTCTCCGTGAATTTGGCACTTTCCCTGGAACCCAAACGGGGCCAGCTCACCCCACCGCCCACCCACCCTCGATGGATTCTGTGTTAGCTCTGGAAGAACGAGATARTAACTCCTCAGCTGCTGTTTCCCAAAAGGAAAAGGCGTCCTGGGCTTCCCCAGCAGAGCCAGCGCCCACCGAGGCTCAGAGGGGGCACATCCTCCCGTTCCCCACTCGTGGGTGAGGTGGGACCAACCTTCCTTCCTTCCTTCTGGCTTAGAGGGAACACTGCTTTTAGAAACCCTGGGACAGGTAAGACAAGAACCAATACCACTGTACAGAATTCACTGCACAACGAGCTAATAAAGGGGCCCGGCGCCGACCCGCCGCGGCAAGGAAACGGGAGCGGACACATTTGGGGACAGGCGGGGCTGGCAGCGCCCCGGGCCCCTCAGTACGCTGGCACTTGGTAACCTTTGGGGTTGGGCTCTAAGGTCTCGGTGAAGGGCGGGCTCTGGTAGGTCTCCGTGCTCTCCACGCCGCTGCTGCCGCCGGGGTAGCCGGGGTAGGAGGCGCTGGGGTCGGTGCCGAACTGCTCGGTGGCGAACAGGGACATGTCCGTGCCCAGGCGGTACCGCTGCAGCGCCCGCAGCGCCAGCACCACCTGCACCGAGGGGACGGCGTCAGGGAGGGCAGGGCTGTGGCCCCACAGCACCCCAGGTCCCTTGGGGGAACCCACACAACCCCCGGACCCTGAGTCCCCCAGCACCCCGTGTCCCTCGGGGGAACCCACACAACCCCCGGACCCTGTGTCCCCCAGCACCCCGTGTCCCTCGGGGGAACCCACACAACCCCTGGACCCTGTGTCCCACAGCACCCCGTGTCCCTCGGGGGAACCCACACAACCCCTGGACCCTGTGTCCCACAGCACCCCGTGTCCCTCGGGGGAACCCACAACCCCCTGGACCCCATGCCCCTCCAGGACCTTGTGTTCCCCAAGACCCCGTGTCTCGCCACCATCACACATTACCCCAGCACCTCACATCCTCCCAGGACCCCCCAAAACTCCCAGAACCCTGCATCCCCTCAAGACCCCGCAATCCCCCAAGGACTCCACATGGCCCATGTCCTCCCAGGACCCTACACCTCCCCACATCACTCACACCGAGCACATCACAGCATCCCAGGAAATTGCCACCCCACCCCATTACATCCAAGAGCWAAGCCAGCCCCAAACCCTACCCAAAAACCCCAGAAGCCATTTCTGTGGGACAGGGTGACCCCAAAGCTCTGCCTGCGGGTGGGGAGCCCCGGCTGTGCAGGTCTGGCACTGCTGGCCCCAATAAACCCATCTGCTGTGGGGAGGGAAAGCTGCCRAGTGCCAGGCCAGGAAAATAGGTCAGCTCTGCCGAGGCTCCTTCACCCTCTTCCAGGTTGCTGGAATTGAGGCTGCAAACGGTGGGAAATGCAGGCAGCAGAGCCGGGAGGGGCTCTCTTTTCAGGAGGTTTCATTAACAATTCAATTAGTTTGTAAAGGATGGGCTGAGGAGGCTAAAAAATGCCTGAAGAAACCAGGAATGGCTTCCCAACCATCCTGGCCATCCTTTGGGATGGAACAGGGGACTGGTGTTCCCGCTGGTGCTGTGGGATGGGGAACATCCCCCCACCGCCCTCCCCTGTGCCTGCACAGTGGGCAGCCGGGGAAGGAGAAGCACTGGGATTAAAGGAGATTTATTTGGATAATCATAAAGCAGGGAGCCATTAAACTGGGGGAGAACTGGAGCAAGGCTTGCTGCTGGAAAGCCTCAGCCTGGCTTTTGCCCCMATTCCTTGAAGGCAATGTGGAATTAGGGCACATCCCGAGGCTCTGTGCCCAGGAAAAGCTGCAGGAGGGATGGGGGTAGGATGGAGCTGTCCCTGCCTCTCCACACACARCCTCTGGAGTGGGGTCCCATGGGTGGCACAGCACCCCCGTTCCTGTGGGGTCCGGGTGGGACCCAGCATTTCACACAGCCCTGCCTGAAGTCCCTCTGCTCATGTGGAGCCAAGGGGGGTTCTCAAAGCCCCTTTTCCATGTGGACAGCACAKGGGCCAGTCTGGCTTGTCCCAGGAGGGAGCTGATGAGCCTGGGCACTCCCAAAATGCCCCAGCCATGCCATGGACCTGCTCAGCACAGAGATCCGTTCCTGGGGACTCCAATGRGCCTCCCTGGGGCTCTGACCAGGTCCTGAAATCAGGGCAGCTCGTGGCTGGTGACATGTTTTCAACAGAAAAAAACCTTTCCAGCCCCAGGAGAGGGGACTGAGTGGGYCCCCCACCAGTTCCACGTGTGGGGRGCCCGCAGGTTCCCATGGTAAATCCCTCGCTGCCCACAGGATTCACTTCTCCAAATCCCACASTGCTCCTCCAGCTCAGCAGCGACCCTGGGCAGGTTTCATTTCTGCCCTCCCCGCTCGGGTGGGGAGCTGCACTCACCCAGATGATGATGGAGAAGAAGGAGAAGGTGATGGCTGCCCGGGCRGCGTCGGCGCCCTGCGAGAAGCCCCTGGTCAGCGTCGTCCTCTGCCACTGGTTTGCCAGGAAGCAGAAGGCTACAAACCACAGGAAGGCCAGGAAACCTGCAGGAGAGCAGAGCTGGTCAGTGCTGCCCCTGGTCTTCCCCTGCTGCAGGACCCCCTCAGCTGCTGCACAAACCACCGAGGTTTTCAATAGGAACRGGAATTTTGGGAGCCGTGGCCCAAAAGGAGCTTTCTAAAAGAGGCGGATGCAGAAACAGAGATGGAAGGAAATTTGTGGGGTTATCTCAGTGTGTTGTCTGCCTGAAGTTCAGCTCAGCTACACCTCAACCTGATCTCAAAGAGCCCCAGGGATGGCACATCCTCCCTGGGTATGTGGGAGAGGGACTTTTCACAAGGGCATGGGGTAACAGGACAAGGGGGAATGGCCTTAAGATGAAGGAGGGTGGATTTACATTGGATTTGGGGAAGAAATCCTTCCCTGTGAGGGTGAGGAGGCCCTGGCACAGGGTACCCAGAGAAGCTGTGGCTGCYCCTGGATCCCTGGAAGTGTCCAAGGCCAGGCTGGAGAGGGCTTGGAGCACCCTGGGACAGTGGAAGGTGTCCCTGCCCTGTCATGGTGGGGAATGGGATGAACTTCAATGCCCCTTCCAACGCAAACCATTCTGTGATTCAGTGATTCCATGACACGTGAGAGCTCTGCTCATCCCTGCAGAGAATCCCCCTGGGCCCGTGGAGCTGAGCAGACACACTCTGCTGATTATTCCTGCCTGGAAGCAAAGCTGGCTGAGYGAGATACGGCTGCGGCTGCCCTAATTCCATCCCCAGCCACCAGCACTGCCCGATGCCAAGGAGCTCGGCAACAGCCAGGGAAAGCCAGGAGCACACAGGGCCAGCAGTGGGRATGTTTTCCAGCACTGGGAAGTGGAGTCTGGATCTTCCCATGGTGCAGCTTTAAGGGTCTCCATCATTCCTGATAGTTCTGATCCYGTGTGTCAGTGCATGTCGGGAATGCTGAGCTGCCCAGCAGCTTCCCAAGGACCATCAGCACATCAGGATGAGCAGCCAGGCTGCCAGTCCCTGTCTGACTGCAGGGAGAGAACCTTCCTTTATATCCCTTTATTCCCCTTTATTCCCCTTTATCCCCCTTTATTCCCCTGTATTCCCCCTTGTCTTGCCTGGTATCCCTCAACAGGATACAAAACACACACCAGCACATCCACACTCGGTGCTGGAGGCACAGGGCTCAAGGCCTTTAACTCAGAATTTGCTCCAAATTGCAGTTTCAGATACATTCCTTGTCTGCACGGCTGAGCTTGGGAATTCCCAACCATCGGGCCTGGTCCTGGCAGGAAGGATCAGTCAGGCTTTGGGATTTTACAAACACTCCACCCCAAACCCACCCAAATCTCTGCACAAGCACTTTCACTTCCCTTTAGGACGGTGACTTGTTGCCAACGTTAAACGAGACTTCTGGGGTTTATTTCTTAAAGGTCACCCCCAGGACAGGGACYTTTTCTGTTCCCCTGCTGTGACAAGGGGGCTCTGCCAGCAGCTGTTCCCGTTCTGGGGAGCAGATCCAACCTTTGGATGCCTGGCTCTGATGACCAGTGTGAGGTGAGCGTGGGACACTGCTCCCCAAGCTTGGTGCACTGCTCCCACCCTCTGGAGCAAATTCCACTACTCCCATCCCAGAAGGAGCAGTCCTCAGGCATTGCTCAGAATCCCWTTGGGGGTGGTTTGGAAGTTGAGATCCCAGAGGAGAAGCACGAGCAGCTCCCAAGGGTTAATTCC